TATATACTCCCTCATAACTCTTAGTCCAATAAGAATCTTATGGATCATAATAGGTCCAAGTTTGGTTCTTTTTAAACCAAACCCAAATTTTTTCCCCGCAAGGAGGAAAACCAACACATTCGATTATATCGTCCAAGGTTTACAACTAAGCCACGAAGCTGTGGCGTTGACCAAGCGCTTTACGACCCGATACTTTTGTCTCAAGGAGAGGAAGCTTCACCTTGTCCTTGACTTGGACCACACGCTACTCCACCCGGCAGAGGTTTCGCGTCTCTCGAAAGCAGAGAAGCACCTAATCAAACAAGCGGGAACGGATGATCTACGAAAGATGGATGTTGGGGAAGACTCCACCGAGTTTTTGACGAAGCTACGGCCTTTTGTTCGCGAATTCTTGAAGGAAGCCAGCAAGATGTTCACAATGTATGCTTACACGATGGGTAGCCGCGATTACGCTAAAGCCCTTGTGGAGCTGATTGATCCCACGGGAGTGTATTTCGAGGATAGAGTGATTACAAAAGAGGATAATCCATATGCGAAGACGCTTGATTTGGTTTTGGCTGAGGAGCGTGGAGTGGTCATTGTGGATGATACGGCTAGTGTTTGGACCCATCATAAGAGTAACCTTGTGGAGATTAGCAAATACAACTATTTCAGAGACAATGGACCACAAGGTTCAAAGCCTTACTCAGAGGAGAAGAGTGACGAGAGTGAAAGCGACGGTGGATTAGCCAATGTGCTGAAATTACTCAAGGAAGTACACTCTGGATTCTTCAGAGTCAAGAAGGATCAGTTAGAGTCGCAGGATGTGAGGTTGCTGCTAAAAGGTATAAACTTCAAACTTGTCAAACAAGATCCATAATGTAGAAAACTATCCTTGTGTCCGAGTTAGCATTACTTAGTGACACCAAGAAATTGGGGGTATTGATTATCAYGGCTCATATTTTGATGTTTAGCTTCTCCATATATACATATGGGAATGCTCATTTATTCTCTATAAGCATATAACCCAGATAAAAAGTATTTGAGTAAGATCATCAATCCATTTTCAAAATCAAAAGAAGAGAATCAAAGAAAAGCTTCCATTTACTCTTGTTTATTAACTGTATAGAAACAACTTCTCCAAAACAAAAGCTTTGTCCGTTAATAATCGACTAATCGCGCCGAATGAAACATCACCAAACCAGAAGAAAGAAAGAAACTCGGTAATTCATTTGACAAACCTCCTCGTTTCTTTTCTTTTTTTCTTCGGATGTATTCTCTAAACA